TATATATATATATATATATATATATATATATATATATATATAATTTGTATAGATTATTGATAATCTACTAGGATTTTAGTGGATATAACATTTCTTGTGAAAGAAAAAGGTAGATCTTCGAAGATCTGTTTATATCTAACAGTAAATCTTATCAGATCCCATTTTCTCTAATGGGATCTACATATATCTAATGCAATCACTTCACTTATTCGCGGGTAATTAAGTACCAGTAATTCAGTAATTTTTTGGCCAGTACTTAATTTCTGGTAAATACTAATAATAAAATCACTGTTAAATATTCTCATACAGCACATCAATATTGCAGAAACATCACAACAACAACATTAAAACACATAAGTTTTTTGTTGGAAGTTTTAAAATGGTACCTTATGTTTTGTTCAAAGTATTGTCCATCGCTAGCCACTACTTTTTCCCATCTTTCTGGCAGCATACGGATACCGCGTCGGAAGAACGCTTCATCTTTTGAGGCTATCCACGAATCGACCCAATTTTGGTATCTTCATATGATGTGAAGTGCTGCTCAGACAGGCCGTGCGTCATCGATCGAAACAAGTGATAGTCAGAGGGAGCAATGTCTGGTGAATACGGCGGGTGGGATAAAACTTCCCAATTGAGTGTTTCCAAGTAGGTTTTGACCGGCGCCGCAACATATGGACGAACATTATCATGCAGGAGAATAATTTTGTCGTGTCTGGAGTAGTAGCGGGCGCGTTTTTCCTTGAGTGCTTGGCTCAATCTCATCAATTGTGTTCGGTAGAGAGCCCCAATAATGATTTCGTTCGGTCTGAGCAACTCATAATACACGACACCAAGTTGATCCCACCAAATACACAATATGAGTTTTTTTCCATAAATATTCGGGTTGGCTATCGATGTTGAAGCATAACCACGTGGTCCCCATGATTTCCTCTTCTTTGGGTTATCGTAGTGGATCCATTTTTCATCACCAGTGACTATACGATGCAAAAAAACCCTTTCGTTTATGCCTGGCAAGCAGCATTTCACATGTGCAAAATCGGCGTTCAACGTTTCTCGGCTTCAGTTCATATGGAACCCAATTTCCTTGCTTTTAAATCATTCCCAATGATTTTAAACGATGTGAAATTGCTTATTAAGTCACTCCTACTATAAGTGCAAGTTCTTCTTGCGTTTGGCACAAATCTTCCTCCAATAATGCTTCCAATTCCGCGTCTTCGTACACTTTCGGCTTTCCGCTACGTTCTTTGTCTTCGACGTCAAACTCACCGTTTTTAAACTTTTGAAACCACTCACGACAACTTCTCTCACTTAAAGCAGCATCACCATATGCTTCTACAAGCAATCGATGCCTCAGCTGCAGATTTATTCAAATTAAAGAAGTAAATCAAAAGTTCCCGCAAATGACGCTTATTCGGCTCAAAACTCGACATTTTCGCACGAAAAAAATTATGTGATGCTGATACAAAAT